CTTTTTTGTTGCTGTACAGAAATGGCATGGTTTTTCTCTTGCCTTCTGCATAGCTCAGTGCTGTTTAAAACATTTTATTGGAGAAATTCCCTTGGAGGACCTCATTCTCTCCTCTCTGTTCCTTATCCCTTTCCGTGCATCCCTTATCTTTCCTCCCAGAGAACGCTTTGAACTGTGTGAAGCTGCTCTCCTTATTTAGACTTTGGAAAGGGAAGGGCAGAGATGAGATGTGGCATTTCCACGCGTTTGTTTTTTCTAGGCAGGTTTTGGCCGTGCACAGCGGAAACCTTCGCGGTGCTCCGTTACGCTGCGATGTCGCCTGGTTTCGTAGCCAGGCAAGCGAACGACAGCAAAGCTGTAAAAAGTTGTCAGTGTTGTGTGCTCGATTTAATGAGTGTTAAAACCTTCTTTCTGCTGCTGAACTTCAGTATGAAAAGTGCCAGATGTTGGCCTTTAGGAAGTTTTAATTTTAAGGACACGGTCTTCCATAAATAGCCGTTCCGTGGAGCTCTTCCGCAGTGCTCATGCCAACGCAGAGTTAGGAGAAAAGAAGGAAAATCCAGCGGATATCTTTATCTAGCCCTTTCTAATGGTGTACCTGTGTTCGGAGATGCATTCTTGCCAGTGATGCCATCCAGGCTGGTACCATGACCATAAAAACCAGTTAATTTCTGCAGAAGAACAGGCTGTCTTGGTTTTATTCTTGTTTTTCTTTCTGGTTTGGGAATTTTCTGCTGCCACTTGTGCCCTGTAATACCTGTCTGCGCTTTTGTGGGACTCTCTTCTTCTTATCCTCCTCTGTGCTGTTGCCTACAAATATTGAAAATCAAGAATATTTGGCTTCAGAGGGATAATGGCGAAAGGATTTTCAGTCTTTATTTTATCTGACTGTAGGTGAACTTTGCCGTGTCCAGCTTTACCAGGTCCTCCTGACTTGATAGGTCCCAATCCGTGATTTTCGGAGAGGCAAGACCACGCGGAGGAGCAGTACTGAAGGTCTGGGATGGAGGTGGCCAGGGAGCAAAGAACTGCAGAGCAGGGAGCAAATGCTCAGTTACTGAACACATGGTTTCTCCTCCTTAAGCAAAATATAATTTATTAAAATTTTGGGTTGTGCACAAGGCCAGTTTCAGCCAGCCATCTCTCTTTGCCTGCCTAGTGAGGCTTAGTATGGAGCTTAAAAATAATAATAAAGGAATAACAGCCTCTCTCAGTCCCCAGCCACCAAAATTAAGATGTTCAAGGACTGGGCTCAGGGTTTTCATGGTGCATTGTTCGCTGCTTTTTTTTTTTTTTTTTTTTTAAATAAATGTGTATGGGTAATGGGAACAGGGCAAACTCTGCCCAGGACTTTATGTTTTTTGACTTACAGAGACTTCATGTCAGATTAGTTCAGCAGCTTAGTGGATCTCAGTCCCCAGCCACCAAAATTAAGATGTTCAAGGACTGGGCTCAGGGTTTTCATGGTGCATTGTTCGCTGCTTTTTTTTTTTTTTTTTTTTTAAATAAATGTGTATGGGTAATGGGAACAGGGCAAACTCTGCCCAGGACTTTATGTTTTTTGACTTACAGAGACTTCATGTCAGATTAGTTCAGCAGCTTAGTGGATGCAATTCTAGGAAGAAAACAATGAGAATGACATAAATGTTGAAGAATTGGATTACATGGGTCCTGCTGCAAGAAATGACGTATAAGAGGGGTAACTTGGGTTTCAGCCTGTGAAAACTAGAGAAGCTTTTGGCTTATGTTCTAGTTATTAATTTACTCGGAGGAAAACAAAATATTCTTTGTACAAATCCTTATTATAGGCCAAATTAAGTATGTCACTGCTGAAGAAATCCCACTGGCTTTGTGGAAGCGGACTCAGACTTGGGCATGGGCTTCATTTGTTTGCTAAACAGGAGGCAAAACAATTTTTCGATAACTTCAGGGCTTTTGTTTAAAGACTTCACCTTAAGATGTAGAAGACCAGTAAGTTTTGTAATTTACTCTTCAGTTCTCTGAAGTTTACGCTAGTTAGTAGTGATGGGGAGCAAGGCTTGGTTTGGGCATGGTGCCTGACAGGGGGAAAATTGGGAGATTTTTGGTGGAATTGGTGTTGTCGAGAGAAGGCTGGACCTGTGTTGGCCGTCTGGTATTGGTCATGTTGCTTAAATCTATATTTTCTACTTTTGAAGGACAGCTTTCTTCAATTTGCAAATATTTTTTTTATTATGTAGTAGTTTAAAAACCAACTGAATAAGCTTAAATTATTGTTTAGAGTTTTGGAAATGCCTCTGTTGCGAGCTACATCTTTTATTATAAAATATGCTGTATGTAAATTCTTTGAATTTAAGACTGTTCTGCTGCTGCCTGTGGTGAATTTTAATTCCCCTACTTTGGTCTATCTAGGACCCAATTAAATGCGTGGAGGGATTATGCTCTCTGAGGTCCTGATGACATGTTAGATTTGGGATTATATCTGGGGGATAAATAGAACAAAACCAGAGTGAACGAAACAAATGAGGTTCTTTAAATAGACTCTTTGGTGTTTCAAAACTCCATCTTCCAGCTGAGGAAGCAAAGGAGAAATAGATGGAATAGTTTGGCCTGAAAATAGTTTTGTCTGACAAATTACAATTGTCTGCTTTCACCAGAACTTATTCTCTTTTAAGGCTGTAATTTTCTGTGTTCATTCCCTTCCTGTTACACGGGAGGATTTTTTTTTGTTGGCTTTATGGATGGGACATTACATGGTAGCGTTGGGTGATCTGTGACCCCAGATCTTCTGTTTCCCTGCCTATTTTTAAGGTGTTTCTAACCAATTCATTCTCTGGATTTGAAAGCCACACAATTACTTGTCTGTTCCCAACATACTTCAGATGAACACCACGCAGGGTATAAATTGCATATGAATAAAATTTGCATTGTAGTACAGTTTTTATTGTCATGTTTTCCTTTGTCAGAAGACAAATCCTTTCAACAGCTGTGGCATGGGCTTCTATTTCCTGGGCTATATCTAAAATGGATGTCTCGACACCTACCTGGGACACGTTCCCATTTCTTTGTTCTTTAAAGTCTCGACCAGAGCTTCGGAACAGTTACTAATACTCAGTATTTGGAATCAATTAAAGCTGTGAATTAAAGGATGTGGGATCAGGTGGGTTCACCTGCTCAAAGACTACATTTAGAATAATCCATCAGCATTTGTTTTGAAGAGAACTTTGTAGCTAGTTAAGAGTTTACGCCTGTATTTTAACTAGTCCACTCTTCTCTTATTGCCCTCCAAGCAAATGACAGATTTGCATTCAGCCCCCCATTTGATATGCAAATGCCCTATAAGATGATTCCGCCTTTGCTCGTGCACTTGATGCTGCATTTTAAGCATCATCTTGAGGAGCCTGACACTTTTTTTTTTAGTTCTCCCTTTATCTTTTGCTGGCATTTTTCTGTCCAAAACAGTCATGAAAGCTCTTTATTATTTTTTTTCCTCCCAAAATTTTCATCAAAGAACTGTTTTGATGGCTTAACTTCAAGCATTTGATCTTGCATTCATCAACCTTCTGATTTTTGAGCCCTGCAATTAACATTGTCAGCCTTCATCTTTTACGTGACCTGGTGGTCAAAGCCAACTGTAGGTAAATCTATCTGTAGCCAGACTTAGTTCATTCCGATTTGTAAACCCTATTTTAATTCTTCTAAAGAAATGTAGATTATTGGCCCTGGAGTGCAGGGAGCTGAGTGTATCCGTAGTTAATGGCAAGAGCACGGGATTTGCCGGTTCAAAGGGATTAAGCTGCTGAGTTGTTAAGAGGGTGAAGGGAAAAGATTGGGCCAGTTCACAAATCTCATAACTGGCAGGAGCCCTCAAGCGCCAAAGCAGATATTTCATGTATACTCAAGAGATCAGAAAGTTTACAGAGAAAATCATCTTGCAGGAGGAATCTTGGCTTAAGGCTTCATTACCTTTATAAAAACCTGATAAGCTGTGCCGTGCAGATGTGCTCGGTGTTGCCAACTGTCATTAGCCCACAGGCATTAGGGGTTCACAGGAGTCTGCTTTGACTTTTGGAGAAGTTAAATCTCAGAATTTGGGTAGACAAGAAGTTCTGAAGAGAGTCTCTCAAAGGTATGATGTACACAAACCAAGCCAGCCCGTCATCTCAGGAAATACATGGGCACCTACCCTTGGCGGCCCTGGCTTTTCAAAGCCTTTGATGTGTTTTTAGATCTAGTTTAACTTTGTGGCTGTGATGATGTAAGCAAGTTGGTCCTCAAATAAACAAACCTTCTCCTTGGCATTGCCTTTGGCTTTGGCCACACTCTCCTGCCCTTCTTGAGTTGACACTGGCTCCGGTTGACATAAGCTCATCTGACTCCAAGATGAGTTACTTCAGGGAAGTGAACCAGCAGGAAGATGTTCACCTGTTTTCATTGTGGGGTTTGATTTCTATGTTTTCTTTCCCCTTCCCCAGCGTGCCTCCCTAAGCCAGCTCACCCCAGGGTTGGATGACTCCAAGGGTGTGGAGCTGCCCATTGCAGCAAGACGTTGCAGATAGCATCTCGGCCCCACAGTGGTGCTCCACGCTGACCAAACAGCAACATCTCAGTTGTCTCACCAATTCCTGTATTGATTTTTTGAGCTCCCATGAGTTAGGTTTACCGCTGGTTTGGAAGCAAGTTGGGCAGAGGTGGGAACCAAGGGGATGTGAATGGTGGTCTCTGTGCTAGTTGGAATGAGTTCACAGCAGATTGTGTCTTCAGCTGAGAGTAGACAGCAGGATGGTTAATTTTTAATTAAAACGCTATTGACTTTCATTGCCAGTGAATTCAGATATGACATAGGCTGGGACCTATTCGTTATATTCAGAAGTTTTTGTTACAAATATATGCTATTGAGTGACTCGTTTCATTTAGGTTTCTACAAATGCTGAACTGCAGCCCAACCTTCGCGATGAGTAAAAAGTCCACTGAAATAATATTAACCAAAACACTGTTTGCTTTTTCCTTTCTATGTTCAGCGTCTGAACCCAATCTGAAATTACGATCCAGACTAAAGCAAAAAGTTGCTGAAAGACGGAGCAGCCCCCTCTTGCGCAGAAAAGATGGTCCGGTGGTTACCGCTCTGAAGAAGCGCCCGCTGGATGTCACAGGTACGTCAGGTAAGTACCAAATCTGCTCTGGCAGCTATATACTCCATGAGATGTCCTTTTCCAAAATTAATTCCTGCATCCAGTTCATTGTGCAGTCTGGATCTCTTGTGTGCCTCTGTGTTGATGAAACCCAGCTGAAGTTGTCAGAGTTGAGCAGTGAGCAATGCAGGTGTGCGTCGGCAGCGTGGGTCTGCTGGGGACCCATCTACTGAGCCAGCCTTACCAACTCTTCTGAGCTTTTGTTGGAGTTTTTAAGACATGTAGACAGATGTAGACATGGCACCAGAATGCTATTTTTTTTTCCCCCAAGCATTTCTACCATCTTCAGCAGCAGGTTGTTGAGAAATGAAATTTCTCAGGGGTGATCCCATTAATATCTGTGGGGAGACCAGAATTCCCGGCTGTCGTCCTCCAGCAGACGATGCTTTACAGCCCCTGGTTGTTTTAGGCTTTGGGCAGACCGCCAGAGTTCTTGTTAAGTAATTACACCAAAGTCTTAAACCATGTAAGGCATTTTATATATATATATATATAACTGATATTTCTGACTACTTGTTTGACAGTTTCTTGTAGAAAAATAATGGTCTTCTGGGACTAAAGTTTGTAAGGAGGGATCAGAGTCAAGTAGATCATCCAGATTACCATAAAGTTAATTCCTAGCACCATCTAGGGATGCCTCAGTGTAAGTACCACTACGTGACAGCTTTTCCAGCCTTTCACCTCACTTTAAGGCACATTATCATCATTCAAACAAACTCAAACTGAGCTCTCTTTAGAGAACCGGCTGGTTTTGGGAGACCTTGGGGCAGCTATGCACTGCTCTGGCAGAGCCTCTCTTTGCAGAGGGAATGGGTGATTTCAACAGCCAAGCAGAGTTTGTATCAGCTCTGAAAACTGAATTTACTTCTCACCTCATATGTTGCTATATGTCACGCAGCTTTGAAGATAAGTCAAGCCCTAATGGCTGACTGGTCCCAGTACTGCCTTCAGAAAGCTCCAGATTCTCACTGAGCATGGACCTGGTTAAAGCAGCCACCCTGGAGCCTGGCTAGAAAAATGTCAGAGTTGTTACAGTAAGAGGGGACTTTTGAATGGAAAATAACTTTTGAAAGAAGTGACACTTCAGGGAACAGAAGTTACATTTAACCCTTGAAGAATACATCTTCATGGAGTCATGGTTTGAATGTGCCAGGTACTGTTTCTATGTCTAGGTAGTTAATGACATGGTCCCAGAAAAAGCACATATTTTCCATGCCATCCAAAGATTTTTTCAAAACACCTAGACTCTGAACTTGCTTTCCACGGAGAAGTTCAATCTGAGGTGCTCAGCTGAGTGTACCTCAGTGCTGAGTTTTCTTCGTGGTGAGATGCTTCCCCAAATGCACAACCAACAAAAAGCAGCAAGGCTTCTTTTTTTAAAGAAGAAAATCTCTTTGTTACTTTGCTGGAGGTACTTGCAAAGATCAAAATAGCTCAATAGTACATACAGAATAATGCCACAAAATAAATAATTTTTAAAAATCTCCCAAATTGGCTTTTATTTCTACTGAGGCATCCTATTGCAGATTCTTCTGGCAGATTCTTCTGGCATTGGGCAAACCCTGTGTTTAGGGAGTAGGGAAGTTTAGAAAAAAAAAAAAGTTTTTGTGTTATTTATCTTCCAAAATAAAAGGAGGGACACTGGAGGCTGTGCTGTACGCCAGGTGAGATGCCTTCTGAGACAAGTTTTCTGGCTGTTGTAATTTCACACCCTTTCTGTTTGTTATTATTTCTGTGTCGTTAGTGGGGAGGCTTTGGTTTCAGGCTGGCCATCTCTGGCGTTCTGCGTAGGGAGTTCCCAGGGACTGTGTTGATAAAATATACAAAGGTGAGAGGATTTTTAGAGCATTCAGGTGATAACAGAATTATTTTGAGGGATTAACTCTGCCTTGGGACTTTCCAGTGAGAAAGTGTTTTACTCCCTGAGTGGAGAACACTTACCACCAAAAAAAGAAAAAAAAAAAGGCGGTGATTTGAAACAGATTTACTGGTTTGGACCCTGTCGTTTTGCCTGATTTTTGTAAAATGTGCTCAGCCATGACCATCCAGTCCAATGGCACTCAGGCAGCTTCTAAATTTCTTAAAACAATTTAATTCTCCATCCTGGCAAAACCTCACGCTCGTGAGTCGGTCCCCAGGAGCTCAGTGCCATGGGAGCTGTTGTGATGGTGTCTCCGAGAACCCAGCATGGTGTGGACATGGGGACAGGGGTGTGACACGTGCCCACTCACCTGCACCGGAAAAATCCCGGTGCTTCTTTATCAAAGCAGAGCTCAGCTCCTGTGCACGATCAGCGTATTTCCAGTCCATCCAGCCGCACCAGGAGCCAGCATGGGAAAATGTCACTGCTGGGACGGTTCCCTGGTTGTTCCAGCATGAAGTCTGATGCAATCCATGGCGAGAGGGTGTCGTTAGGGTCAGAGGCTAAAGAGGGTGAGTGAAGCACTTAGAGAAAAATGAAGCAAGACAATTTGACATCCTCCAGTTTGGCTTTGTCAAGCCTTCCATGTCTTTTATTCTCTTCCAATCGTATTTAAAGTTATTAATAAGAGAAATCCCCATGAGGAGAAGACATAAATATGGTAAGGAGGTACTTGGACAGACCATTTGAAAGTGTTTGTTGCTATTTTAAAAGCCCTGGGAAGATTTTGGGGGGTTGGGAATGGGGAGGAGGAGGATTGCTTTCTTCCAAAACAAAGCTCGAGGGGTTGTTATCTGTCTAAATACCATCGCGGAGATTGTTTGTAACGCTAAAAGTTGGGTTTGGATGTGTTTTTAGATTCTGCATGCAACAGTGCTCCTGGATCTGGTCCCAGCTCTCCAAACAACAGCTCCAATAACATAAGCGCCGAGAACGGAATTGCAGGATCGGTCACGAGCATTCAAACCGAGGTAAAGAGCCCTTCTGCACTCTCATTTTTAATGCTTGGGTTTCTCATCAGTTTTTGCAAAGTTTTAGGAATTTAGGCATCCAAACCGGTGCGCAGCACTCTAAAAAAAAAAAAAAAAAAATAAACGCCAGACTGTGACTTGGAGTGGACTTTGGGAATTACATCTCAATCTGGGCTGACAGGATGCTTTATCTGTTTATTAAATCTAGTTTGAGCCAGCTTGCAAGCTGCTTGTGGTAACTTGTAGTGGTTTTGCTGTGAGGAGCAAAAAATAAATTGATTTAGCAAGGTAAAGGATGAAGACCAGTTTCCTAGTCAAATGCAAGTATTTTAAAATGTGGGGAACTGTTCACATCTATTGTCCATAGGATGAATTCGTTGTGTGCAGTAGGTTGGTCTAAGTACAAACCAAAGCAGAACTGGATTAAAGGGAACAGATTTAACCTTTTCCTCCCCACTTGGGGATTGGAAAGCTTGATGCCTGCTGCCATGTGCTGATTCATAATCCCATAAGCTTTCACCATCACTTGAGGCATCTGATGCGGATGTCAAGGGCAAGGTGTTGGACTGGGTAAACTGGGATTTGATTCAACACAGCAGCTCCTGTGTTTGGGGATGCTGGAGCCCACCTTTTCCTAAGGGCCCTGGTAACTGGTTCCCCCATGAACCTCTCGTGTAGAAAAACCAGTGTGGTTGTGTAACGTTACTGGTGCGTTTCTTTTTATCCAGCTGACCATTAGCTGTTCTCCCCATGAATATAGTGTCTGTCTGAACATAGGGCTGTCCAGACAGGCTCAGGCTTGTTCTCGCCAAATTGTCATTTAGAATTGAAAAGGGTTTCTTATGGTATAAATGTAAGCCCTTATTGCTTTCAGTTGTGTACAGATTTTCACTTTATTTTTATTTCTAATGTAGTGTAACAGCATTTAATACGGGGAATATGCCTTCTACTCCACTCTCTCCCCTGCCAAATTATCCAACACACATGTAACACTCCAGCCTACTACAGAGCTTACCAGATTTACACAGTTATTGTAAAGATGAAGACAGTGTCAGGTGGAGTCTTCGCTTGACACTGCCGGCTGAAGCTGCTCTAAAGAGACCTGTCTTTGGAGATGCACGCCAACCGTGTCGTAGTTTGGAGCAGACCCAGCAAAGGCACCTTACACAGGGGGTTATTGATGGGGTTTGCAGAACTGAAGACTGGCACATCTTTGGTACATTTGTGTTAGCCCCAGGAAGACTAGCAGCGAGTTACTGGTTCTGCTGACCCGACAGCTGTCAATCTTGTCTATACTTAGCAAACTGCAAATCCCCAATTACTGCTGGTGGAAAAATGAGTGGATTCGAAAATTTCTTGTGATATTAACAGAGCAGGCGGCTTCCCACAAGTCAGTGTGAGCTCCTGCAGGTGAATGGGAAGCTGGAGCATTCTCCTTAACTATTTTATTTTTAAGTTAAATAATTTGAGCTAATTATCTGGGACTAGACCACCAATACCTAGCAGAATGGACACAGGCTACAAGAAGAACTCTTTTCGTCAACTGCTTGTAATGCAGCAATTTTGTAACTTAGGCGGAGGCATGAACAGGGCAGACAGTTGGGGAAAAAAATCCCTGTACTGCCAAAGCCTTTCCCTGGGAGTTGTCTTTGCCTCTTTTGCAACTGCACCGTGGTGGGTAATTTCCAGCGATGCCGCTGCACGCCAGGAAAGAAGCATGTTCATCTCAAATTTTAACAAGAGCAGCATTTGATGCACCATCTCCAAACAACCTATGCATAAAGGAGGAAGAAAATCTAGTTTTCATTTCCCAGAAAATAATATCTAGAGGTTTTTTAATCTTTTCATAATTTTTGGAAAATAGGAAAAATATAACATAGGGATGATTGTGCAGTTCTAATGTTAAAACTGCCCAGTATATTGAGTCACTGCCATCCCAGAACAGAATGAAACATAAATCACCGGGTGATGGCAAACAGAACATCAGTAACCTGTTGCACAAACTGTTCTCCTCCCAGCATCTCAGGTGGACTTGAATGGCTTAGCTACATGTCCTAGTCCTTTGCATTTTTTCTGGGGGAAAGCTAACTCTGCGCTTTGTTCCGGCACTTCTCGCTGTGTGATACTAGCTGACGTGTTTGCCTGGATGGGTTCCTTTGGGGAAAAAGAACTGGGCAAGAGAAGGCTTTGGTTTCTTTCTTCAGTAGAAGTAGTGTTACCTGGGGGCCCAAGTGTTGGAGATTTCTTTAATACCAGTTGCCCGGGCTTTCTAATGTTCCCACTTTTTAAAATATTTAGAAAAATTGAAATGCTTCGGAAAAAATAATGTTGCCAAGTGTAAGTGTTTCATGTGTTTGATTTCACATGAGAACTGCGTCTCTTTGCTTCTCAGTTTGCTAGGTCACCTCTTGAACCATTTCAGATAGGTCAGAAGATGGTGTCTGAGTTGATTATTTAAGTTTCAATGCTTGCCTTCAGTGTGGAAAGACTGCAGCTCTGCCTCCATTTAAAAGATACAATACCTATTTTTAAATACAGTTTTTAAATCTAAAGGGTTTCCCGACTCTGAAAGGTACACGATATTCCTTGCCGTTGCAGTTGCTACAAGCCTATAAAAAGTACTTGCCTGCAGACGAAAATTGCACGTGCTGAAATTGTTCTCTTCTGTGCAATTCAAAAACCTGTTTGTGTACAACCCGTAGATGAGATCTGTGTATTTAAAGTGATGATAATGCTGCTAAATACCGTATGCTGATAGCGTCAAGCTGCTGGGTTTTTCTCTTCGCTGTTTTTCAAACAAATCCCCAGGAGATAGTTTGAGGCACAACTACAGAGTATTGATTGTTCAAAGAGCAAATGGATGTAGTTTGGTTTCGTTTCTGATGTCAGTAAAATATTTCATTACTCTGCTGACAGTAATGATCTTCTTCTTGATGTGGCGTGCTAACGTTATGTAATTTAAATTAAAGGAAAATTGCCAGTAGTGCTCAAAATGACTTGGAAGAAGAAGCATGTGGGTATGCACCATTGCATGTCCTCACTGGGTACCGCTCCACAGCAAAACGCTCCCTGCGAGTTTCCTTCTTTAGAGCAGCAAATTGTGAACCGAGATCTTAAAAACAGATTTACTCTTTTTTTTTTAATGGGAGAACTCCTCTGTAATGTATTTCCAATAAGCTTGAATGACACTAATGAAAGCACAAAAAGGCAAAAGGAAATAAGAAAAAAATTCACCATGCAGCTGAGATTTTGCACAAGGACTTATGAAAACTAGGCGACGTTGCCGAATGTCAGGAATTTAGACAAAGTTGGACACTGGGAGAATGACTGGCAAGTTAGTGGCACATCGAAGAGCGCATTTCAAAGGCTGCCCAGTGTCTGAAAATGGTGACAAACAGAGGTGTGGGAAGGTTTTACTCCTCCTGTTCTTCTTGCCCAGGCAGCACCGAGCTCAGGGGCTGAGATGGGATGTCCTGGTAAAGTTGTTGGCTAGTCCGGTTACATCTCCATAAATCACGGAATTGCTTTTGAAGATCGGTTGATAGAAAATGTTTGGGTTTTCACTGTTAGTTCTTATGTGCTTTTTTTTTTTTTTTCCCTTAAAGGGTTGCTGCAAGTTGTTGGTTTTTGGTTTGTTTGGGTTTTTTTGAAGTCTCACCTTAGAGTCTTTGAGGGAGAAAAAGAGATTTTTATTATCCAGAGCTGTCCCAGCCCTGCAACCAAGGAAATAATCTGAAAAATCTCCTTGACTTACAAGACTATGAATTTGACTCTAAATTGTATAAAGCCATTCTTCAGAGCTCTGTTACATTGATATAGATTGAACCGTAGTGTAATATTCAGTTAATAATCATCCCTTTTTTCACCATAGCACCTAAGTTAAAAAACAGAAATCCTATAGAAGGTCTTTTTGAAATCTAAACTCTATTTTATTTAAGTTGGAAAATCACCTGCAGAGAATTCAGGGTGATCAGAACACTTGTTTCCTAACAGGAAGATCGGGCAGTTTAAAGTAATGTAATTTTTATAATGGGTTTTCTAGCACCTATTTTAAATCAATCTTGTTTTGAAATTAAGGGTATTTTTACTTAAGTGTTCCTGGTTTAAATGGCCATAAAATAATTCAGTAAATCTCGCATTTCACCCTGAAAAATCAGGCAATAGCTGCATAAATGCAACCTTACAGCTTTTTGATGAAATTGTGAAGTCTGATTTAAGCTAAAGCACACTAGTAAATAGCATAAATTGGCTGTGATTTGCTAAAGAGAACAGCCATTGTCATGCCTTTTTTTTTTTTTTTAAGGTAATCTGTTTTAGCTTTAAAAGGGCAAATACTTGAGAAGGACAGGTAAGCTGGTAAATCTTCTTTGCAAAAGCTTTTTGCAGTGGCACCGCATGAAGGCTGAGCAGAAGCAGAGTACCGGTGAGGATGCAGGGATGGTCTTCAGTCTCCAGGAAGGATCAAATAAACCGTCGGAGGTGTCTCTGTAGGGCAGCGGCGTTGGTGGCCTTGCAGAACATTGTCACCCCACTGTTGGTTATCCTGGTCTCGTCACCACTGCGTGGGGTGTTCAGGGCGTGCACCTAGTCTGTGCCTATGTAGGCTGGGTCTGAAGCACAGCTTAGCTCCCCCGTTGGGTGTTCCCAGTGTCGGCTCTGTACATTTCTGATGTGTTCTCGCAGCAAGCGGACTGAGTCCTTGAGCCCGTCCATGGATGCTCTCTCACCAGGACCCTGTTCTTCATTTTGTTTGCAGACCAGCCTGGCTCACAGACTTGTGAATCGCGAAGGCTCGGTAACGCAGCTGCCACTCTACACATCTCCTTCTTTGCCCAACATCACGCTAGGACTGCCCGCAACTGGCCCTTCCAGTGTAAGTGGCGGGGGGATGTGGCCTTTGAGCTGTTGCTTGCACTGATTTATCCCGTAACCCTCTGTGTCATCAATTATGTGTCTGCAGGGAGGATCGGCACAGCAGGATGCAGAGAGACTTGCTATCCCAGCCTTACAGCAGCGGATCTCTTTATTTCCTGGCACTCACCTCACTCCCTACTTGAGCACTACAACGTTGGAAAGAGACGGGGGAACCGCACATAACCCTCTCCTGCAACACATGGTCTTACTGGAACAGCCAACTGCACAAACTCCCTTAGTCACAGGTGAGCGCCCCATGTAGAATCGTAGAATCACAGAGTGGTTTGGGTTGGAAGGGACCTTAAAGCCCATCCAGTCCCACCCCCTGCCATGGGCAGGGACACCTCCCACTAGCCCAGGTTGCTCAAAGCCTCATCCAGCCTGGCCTTGAACCCCTCCAGGGATGGGGCATCCACAGCTAAGATAGTAGTAGATAATGTACAAAACTCAGTCCCAGCTGGGGAAAGAGAGCAAGTGACTTCTGTTTGGGTTTTTTTGAAGTCTCTATCTTGTACAAAAGAGATAACTGCATCATCGATACATTCTGTAGCTATAATATATAGCCTTTAGGATGTGTTCGTTGGTACGCTGGGTAGTGGCAACATTTGCAAAATCAGAGGTTGCCCACCTCATCTAGAGGTAGGGGGAAGCTGCCTTGTCATTTTGGCGAAACGAAAATAAATAGTATTTACTTCCATAAGTAAAGCATGAGTTTGGAGGTAAGAATTTAAAACTATATTGTAAGAGTTCCAACCACTTCAGATTAAAGTGATGACGAAAACGTTATGTCTCATGATTACCCTTCCTGTTTATCACGGATGGTTTCTATTCCATTTATGAAAGGCACACATTTGCAAAATCACAGATTAAAAGACTTCCTTTTCATCATTATTATAAATGGCAAAAAACATGGCAAAACCAACTGCATTCAAACAGATTGTATTTGTTTGTGTATGTTACATTTTCAGTATGCTAATTGCTTTGAATCACTCCCTGTGTCATATTTTCAGAATTAAGTACCTGTGGGAAGGCATATTTCTATAAATAGGGTTGATTCAAAGCAACAATCCCCAGTAGGATGCATTTCTGTTTTACCGTGTGTAGTGCTGGGACGACGGATGTTCTGCGTTAAGTTACAGACCTGTTGATTTTTATTTCTTTCCTTCTATTTCTAATGGAAATTCTCGAGAGATGTCGATCACTGAAGCATTACAGCCCTGCTCTCTGGTTCAGCTTGTGTCTAGTTTTACATTCAAATCCCAGGAATACCCGTGGGGTTGTGATAAGCTTATAAGCGCGTACGCATGTGGAAGCTGAAGCACAGGCTCCTTGAACCTTTACGTGACTTTTTTGTTGCCTCCTTCTGCCGTGGTTGCTGTGGCATGATGAGGTTCCCCAGAGTCACGACATGACTCTTCACCACTTGCCCTTTGTCTGAGGTCTGTTGGTGAAGAGCCATAGGAGAAGACTTCCCCTGTTACCCCATCACCAAAACTTCCTTCCCAGTTTGAGCTGGAGTTTGCTTTCAAGCACACATGGGCAGAAGTGCTCCTCTGTTTCCTATCTGACCTCTCTCAAAGCTTCCTTCGGTTTCCAGTGCACCGTGTTTGCTTCCGAGTGTATTCCTTCTAGTCCACCTGCTACGTGCGGTGTTTCCAAAGCGAATACGACATGTTATATACCAACACTTAGAAGAACTATTCACAATACAGCAGAGCAACAAGAAGAAACACGCGTTCCAGATGCAGCAACTGAAAGAGAGCGAGTTAATACATGGTCTCAAAAGCCCTGAGTGGACTGGCTGCCAGACTACAGTTAGTGCTTCTGCCTTCCTTGGAAGCAAAGTGGAGTTTATTAGTATTCTGCTGCTAGCCTTCAGCTCTGGAGATAGTCTCCTGATGGCTGCAAAATGATCCAGCACAACGACATGCTCTTTGTGTGCGGGAAGGTAGACACGGGAGGGTTTGGGAAAATAGAGCAGAATTCTTTAGGTGTGCTGTTCCTCTTGGGACAGGTTACTCTGGGTAATATCCTTCACACTGGCGTGTGTGTTCTTAGTAGGAACAAGGCATCTCCCTGGCAAGTCTTCACCGGGGAGCCTTGGTCATTCCTTTGGAGGAAGGTAGTCTTCCAAGGTGTCCTATGCAAACTGTATGGGGTCCCTAATTTGAACTTGTGGGAGAAGGAACTGTGCTGGAAGGGAGATGAACCACATCTTTACAAATTATTCATATATTCATGAACACACAGACGTGTGTGTGTATACACATACATTTATAAAATAAGATACTCTTTTACATGGTTCTTTTCAGAAAAGCAAAGGGTAGGAGAAACTCAGTAAATCTTTCCTCAAGAAGAGAGGCTTTTAAATGAGTCAGGTTCTTCCATGTAGGGCAGCTCTGTGGATGGGTGGGAAAAGGAGGTGATGTCCTGGCACAGAAGTGCCCAGGTGTTTCTATATCGCTGTATTCAGCTGGCTGCAGACTTCTGGGCAGCTTCTCTCTCTTCTCAACCAAAGACTGAAGAAAGAGAGAAGATACAACTTCTCTGACCCTCAAACTGGGCAGTATTTCTGAATGTTACTGACCACTTGCGTAATCTTCCGTTTGTTTTATCCAACGAGGTAAAGCAAAAGAGTACTTCCATGCAGCCTTATCCACGTTAGGGAGACGGCAGTTTACACCAGTGATGCCTTTCTGTCCTGAGATGTAAGGAGCAAAAATGTAAAGGCTTATCCTTAGCTCCTCCACCCTTTGGTTTGGTGTTGTGTTGGGTGTGCCTTCAAGTCCCAGCTTTCTAAGAAGTATGTGACGGTATGTTTTTGGAGAGCAGAGCAAGAACTGTCTTACCCCGAGAACAGCTGAAAAGACAAGACACTTCCTAAAGACATGCCCTTACCGGCGCTCCGATCGGTATTTCACAGGGTAGTCATCAGAGACGCTTAAATTGCCAAAGGCGTGTGAGTAACGCAAGTTATCCCAAAATAACCTGGTGTTTTCATTAATTTACCAGCACCTATACACAGGACAGTGATGGAAGCAATGCTAGCTATTTGTCAACTTGGCCTTGTAACTTACCTTCTTTTTACAGAAATAACAAAGCCTGATGGCTTGCGTATTCCTGAAGTGCTCCAAAGGTGTGCCTGTTTCCAACGTGAACCTTATCAGGGGTTTACCACATGAAAGTTTCATCCCTAGACATTTCTCCAAGGTGGGGTATAGCACAGCCAAGGGCAGACGTGCTTCCCTACGTGGTCTAGAGTGGGAAGCGTCTTCATCAGCATCCATCATCCTTCAGCATATCCAGGGAACCCGCTGTAATTACTGGATGCTGCGGGGTGGCAGCTTGGGTTGGTGCTTTCCTAGAAATGAATCCAAGATCGTTCCCTTTACCAAGGCAAACTGTAAGACTTGAGCTTCTCCAAACTACCACTGTGATCTTACGTCACCCACTGAGCAATGGAAGGGTCTGTAAGGTATTGCTGATTTGAAGAAATGAAACATTTCCCTAGGGTGTCTGAGTAAAGAAGCAAACAAAGGGTTGCAAAGAAAGCAAAGTGTTACTCCATCCCATGGTCATTAATTATCTGTTCTATTTTAAGGATGCTTCAGGTGTTAATGGCGAGGTGGCTGGTTTTAACGTTATATATCATTGTCACCATCAGCGTTACTCAACAGCCCTTTTCTCCCTTCCTTTCTTCTTCCTTTTTTTTTCTTCTCTGCTGTTTTTTCCTCCATATTATCTTCAGACTGGTATCTTTCAGGCCTGCCCCTCCACGCACAGTCTCTGGTTGGTGGAGAACGGGTCTCCCCTTCAATCCACAAACTCCGGCAGCATCGCCCGCTGGGGCGTACGCAGTCCGCTCCCCTGCCCCAGAATGCCCAGGCCCTCCAGCAGTTAGTGATCCAGCAGCAGCACCAGCAGTTCTTGGAGAAACACAAACAGCAATTCCAACAGCAGCAACTGCACATCAACAAGGTAGGCATGATGCTTTTAAAGTTGTTTTGGTTTTGGTTTCCCCCCCCCCCCCCATATGGCATCAATCCCAACTTCAGCCAGCACTATTTCAGAGTTTCTTGTATGTGGTCTCTACCTCTGTAACCAGCTGACCTTCATCCTTGAATTTTGAGAAATACAAGGATGGAGGCATCCATCATCAAGGCGAGGATCGATACTTCTGTTGCGGTACAGTTCAAACTTCTGGCTTTTCCAGTAATACTTTTTGAAGTTGTCGTTTTTGCTGTTCATCCACATCAGGATTTTTTTATCAGTTTTGTAGCAGAAAACATAAAATGGTGTCAAGGAATATGGGGAAAATACCTGCTATGTGTGTATTCAGTTTGAAAGGGAGAAGGAGCAGTAATATGGATTTGAGGAAAGAAAATGAAAAGCGAGGGATTTCAGACATGACTACACCAGAAAATAATTGAAAGTGAAGATACTCAGATTTACTGAAGCATTTTTCACTGGAATTACTTTTGGAAAGAGAAAAGCTGTTCCCATCTCCGGTCCAGACTCCCTTAACTGTGGCCCTGTGGAAAGCATTTCAGTGTCCTATCCGTTCCTTCTCCTGAAAATGAGGCCAGCATTGCTCTGCATCCTGCAGAGGTGGTTTTGCAGATTAATTAGACGCGATTCAAAAATTGCTTTGAAGCAAGCAAGTGCTCTGTTTATTTTCTCACTTTCTCTCCATCACTTGGAGAACATCACGTGAATGTTACAGAGCACCATTGATCAGTGCACAGATTTTGCAGTTGCTGTGTAGCCAAAATAATGTGTTTGGGCATCCCAGTATTACAGCTGAAGCTGAAGCAAAGCTGCTTTGAGATGATTGCGTGAGTATGCATTAAAAAAGACAAAATCTAACTTGATGTTTTAACCCAGGGAAAGGTAAGTGCAGCTTTTTAAGTGCAACAGGTCTGATGACAAGCGGATGGAGGTGTGACATTTTACCCCAGCTGAGGTTTTCTCGCAAGATTTCAGAAGGCACAGTCTGTTGCTGGATTTACAGTATAAAAAGGCTGTTAAGGAAGGGGGAAATCAATCATAATCAGTGTGATATTTTTCTGACTCTAGTTTGTATTGTTTTGAGGCTTTCTAAAGACTTTTCCCAAGGAGTTCCAATGGTGGCTTTAAGAGCCAAGCAAATCGAGTAGTGGGTTTCAGGCTAAGTTCAATGATAGGTGGGCCTTTCAGATAGCTGCAGTCTAATTTACGGTGTAGGTTGCTCCAAATATTTTCACTGTTCCAGTCCTATGAGAAAATAAAACCTACCAAGAGCTGGATTTAAAAAAAAAAAAAAAAAACCACCCCAAAAAAACCAGCGCACACACACAAAAAAAAAAGAAAAAAAAAAAAAACCCCAACCCACAAAAACCCCCACTGCACGACCCCCCAAAAGTTTGTTTATAGACTGGAGCTAAGGCAGGATGATTACACAAGTTACTGACGTCAATCATGTACTTCTGGAGAGCTGCCACCGCACACTGCGTGTGCCAGCCCTGGACGGGGTTCAGCCCCACACACCGGGGCGATGGGGAGCGGCTGCTGCCACAGAAATTTCCCTCACCCCCCTCCAATCGCGCTTTGTGACCGGCATCGTCGGACGCGGGGCGCTAGGTAGGGTTTCTTTGTTCGGAAAGAAATGTCAGCCCGCTGGTTTGTTTGTTTGAGGTTTTTAAGGCTTTTCCGTTGCCAACGCTTGTAAGCGTCCAAAAAGTTTGCCGTGACGTACCCGCTGAACTCATTGAGACTTTCGCTCGGACCTCCCAGGAGCTGGAGAGCGTGTGCGAGCGGAGCCCGGCAAGTCCTCCCGCAGCGCTCTGAATCTCAGCTTTGTTAGAGCCGGGATCAATCGCATCCATAGCAGAGGCAGGCGGGGGGAGAGTGAAATTCAAGTGATTGCACAGGGGCAATTTCCCTGCGTTTGATTTATAGAAGTAATGAGTTAAAACTGTTGCGGTACTAGTGCTGTATGCGTGTGGCAAATTTATCCTGTGGGCTAGCATCCAAGTGCTGACATGGAAAAAGACTTTTCCCAGACGCACAGATATTTTAAGACCCTTGTGTGTAGGAGAGTAAGGGCACAACTAAAAATAATGTCATAAATGGCTGCCTTTTAATTATGAGCAGAACTGACAGGGCTGTCTGTTAAGGTTGTGTTGGATTTCCTGTAAATAATACGAGGCTGTTTTCAATTGCTTGTGATTTTTTCCAAACTTTTAAGATTTTGGCTCTGTACTTTCCCTGTTAGGTGTCTACATCAGATGAAATTTTTGAGAAGATTGCAGCCAAAACAAGTCTTGCTTGTTTCCAAGAAGACGGCTAAGGAAAAAGTTGTTGTTTTGTTCACAATTTAAAAATAATGAGACTAATCATCTAGGGGATTCAGCTGTAGGGCTTTGGACCAGGACCTTGGAATTGGATAGATGAGGACAGGGCGGGTGGCTGGGGAGGGACGGAGAGTGCGGAGGGGTGGCTGGGGTGGGACAGGTCCAAGGGAAGGACAGGGCTCCTTGGGGAGACCGGAGGGGACCCGTGCTCCCCGGGGTGCGGTCCTTTCCAGCACGGCTTCTGAAGTCCCTGGTCTACTGCTGTTGGCAGAAAATTGAGGATGGCTTGAGCCATTTCCATTTGCTTGAAGGAGGGGAAAAACAAAAACCACACAATGACCCCAAAAAATGGGGACAGGAGAGACGTCTGTGAATGACAAGAGTGTTATTGAAGTTGCCACCCTGAGCGCTCAAGCTAGGAGATGGGAGTAGTCACGTTTCCTGTGCAAGTCTCACTTGCCTTCTTTTTTTCCTGTCTTTTTTGATCCAGTTTTTGATCAAGTTGTATCTCTTGTAGAAGACTCTGAACTTAGTGCAGAGAAGGGTAAGCGCCAGGCTGCTCTCCGGTGGCGTGCTGCTGCATTTGTTGCAGAAATCAGAAAACATGTAAGGAGGAAAAACGGATCCTTAGGGCTCGGGCAGCTGGATGCTGTCGCAGGGAATTTCTCCTCTCTGCATGCTCATCTGCTCTGTGCCGTTTGCAGGACGGGGAGACGGGGCTGCTGGCAGCAGAGGTGCGCTCGCGCGTCTAAACCATCTAATCTTAAAATCAGCCGTATCATGTTGAAACCCCCATCCAGTGGGGTTTCACAGTCAACAGCTTTCTTGAGAACTGGGGTTTGAGACATTCAATAAGTTCTAGATGAGATGTTGAATCACTTTGTGTTAATTGAGCTTTGTGCGACCTTTGGTCGGAATGAGGGATGTGCCTTAAAAGAGTAAATATGAAACAGTCCTGAAAATAAAAGCTATATATTAATGCCCAGGAGCCCTGACCTGAAATGACACAGGCAACGACATGCGCTCATGTTTCCCACCTTTTTGCGCTTTCAACGTTCAAACCTCGGGAATGGCTTTTCCCTATGGTCGGAGGAGCTTTGCTGGGCGAGGGGGGTTTGTTTTGCCATATGAGAAATACACGCAGCAATCCCAACATCGTTTCATCTTCAGCAATTACCATTTCTCTGCAGACTTCAGTCTCTTTTAAGATGCAAATTTTAGTCTTTTCTATATGAGAGGGAGGAGCCAATATATGCTCATGGCTCTCTGTGACGTTCGGAGATGGGCATTTGGGGGGGTATTTTTGTCCTGACAGCAAACCAGGTAGAGCAGGACGCTGTTGTCTGAGCAGACTACAGGAATTTTGAGTTGAAAGTGTTAGATTTTCAGCATGATAGGTCTTGAAACAGCAATTCTCTTCCTACAGAGAAATACACAAGTGAGATTTCTGTGAATCCTATGCCGGAAAACTCAGCTTTTTACCTTTCTGTAGTGAAGCTGAGTGTTCTTGGCATTAGTCCCCTGGATGGAGAATTCCCAAAGCCTTACTGGAACAGATAATCTCCCTTTTAGCCCTGAATTGTTCTGTTAAGCAGATGAACACTGAGCTTCTGTGGTCAAATTATGGTTTTTCTGAATAAACCCCATTTTTAGCACACTCCGGAAAGTGAGGTCCAGCTGTAACATATATTCGGCAACGTATATATGCCAGACTGTGGTGCCTCGACTTGTCTGTGGTGCAGCAGTGTTGGGTGGATACGTTTTTATTAAAACCTAGAATTTAACTTTGCTATTTCCTGATTTTTTTTTTTCTTTTTTTGGAATGAGTTAACTGTTTAGCCTCAAGTGACTGCTGGAGCAGCTTTTCATAGTATCTCTCAAGTATCATCTCTAAGCTGCCTGTAGATAACCCTGGATGAGTTGTATGGAAATGTGATGATTTCTCCTAGGCTTTGAAGGGGTGTGTGGTTTTTTTCCAGCTCCTTTGATGCACACTGGTCTGTCCAGTGACTCTGAAGGGCATGATGGAGGTATTCCCTCCAGCAGAGATGAGAGTCTTGTGTTGGACTCCTAAACTGGAAGAGATCTGGAGAGCAGATCTAGCTCACGGTTTGCCCAAAGTCATGCACAGTTTTCATCTCTGTCAGTCTTCAATAATTGAGGTGTTCTGCTGTGTTCAGTGTTGAAGAAGTCTTGTCCTTTTAATTGTGCAGGACCAGAAATTTCTTCTGCAACTGCTTGTCATCTTAGGAGAAAGATTCAGAGGTGCACAGCTTCATCAGAGTTGCTCTGTCCGGATAGGAGACTTGGCTATGTGGTCCTACCGACGTGCTTCGGCTCTGCTTCTGCTTCCCAAGGAGAAGCCACCTTCTAGAGCCAGATGGGTCCCTGTGACACTTGTCAAAAGAAGTCCGTTGGTTAGATCCTTCTAGGAGCTTCCCAAGCATTTTTTCTGTTGGGAATTCTTCGTTAGGCTGTGATGAGTAAACAGACGTTTCTAGCCTGTTTAGTAGTGTCTTCAAAGACTTTGGTGTCCAAACACCTTACCACTACAGAGAAGGGATCATGAAGAAGTAGGTATATCATATCTAGTAGACAAACCAGATGGCAGCTGACTTGAAATTTTACTAGCAAAGAAATGCAGCTTTTTTTTCCCCATATGAAGCATTCCACAGAAAAATGATGAATTCTTTGTTTTTTCTTGTATTGGGACCTGACGTTGCTATGATGTATTTTCCTTTGTTCTTTGTATTTCAAAGATGTAGATAAGAAATCTTGCCAGCTGCATCGAGTCTTTTAAAAATGCTTGTTAACTAGAGATGTGTAGTTTCTTCTGTATGGAAGTCGTTAGCTGTCCGAGGCTAAAGAGGCAGTGCCTTTTACAGTGTTTTATGGTGACAGTAAGTGATAGCCAGAGGCGACTGTGTTTGAAAATAGAGAAGTAACCTCATTGCAAAGGGAGCTAGAGAGCTAATTAAGGGAGGGAGAAGTTAGTTATGTTACGTTGTGCAGTTGTTTATTATTTCAGATATATTTGTAAGCAGTTTCAATGATATCTTAACTTGATATTCAGTCCCTTGCACTTTTCTTACCTGAAATTATTACACGAACACATGTTCATGAAATTGCAAAAATGGAAGATTTTTAGGGAGGTTTCATGGGCCTGGGATGCACGTACACGTGTATTACATGGAATACGTTCAGAACAAAATGCTTTCTTTGCAGACTTGTCCTTTAAGAAGAAAAGGGTTGCAGCAGCTAGAACAAATGACATACCAAGAGATTCACTTTGTATTAGGAGAGCAAACTGAATGTTTGAAATGTCCTTGTCGTTTACCACTTGACTTTTAACCTTCTTTATGTTTTTCATTTAATTCTTACATTTTTATGGAGTTGGAACAATTTAAAACTTTCAGGGAATTACACTGCTTCTCATTTCCATTAGATTTGACAATGACATTGGAAGTTATTTTCCCAGCAATTACCTTGCATAGTTCATAAGTTCAAAAGGTATTAAGTTCAAAGCTTGAGACCTTCGATCCAAGCAGGAAAAAAAAAAGTAGCAGAAGATGGTTTATGGTGATTTAATTATCTTTAAAACAGATTATATCCATCCAGCCTAAGAGAGCTTAAAGAAAATTGATGGAAGAACTATCCTTAGGTTAAACGTGGTATGTATATTACAAGTAATGAAACTGGGAGGTACCTCACAAAAAGTTTTGATCTTTTAGGTTGGCAGGAACCTCATGAGATCATTTAATCCAGTGTCCCTGCTCGAGCAGGGTCAGCTAGAGCAGGTTGCCCAAGACCATATGAATATCTCCAAGGATGGAGATTCCACAGCCTCTGTGGGCAAACCTGTTCAAGTGCTTGACTGCCCTCATGGTAAAAAATGCTTTCTTATGTTCAGAAGGAATTTAATGTGTTTTAATTTGTGCCCATTGCCTCTCAGCCCATCACCCATGAGTGCAACCCATCAGGCCCCGTGGACTTATGTTTGTCCAGGGTTTTTTTAAGTGCTCCCTAAAACCTGGTGGTCCTCCACCAAAGGTAAGTCTTCCTTGCTCCAGACTTTCCCCCTGGTCTCAGGGGCCTGGGATTCCTAAAGGACCATCTTACTAGTAAAGAAGTTATTAAGTGCCGTGGCATTTTCCATGTCATTTGTCACCAGATCCCTTCCCCGGGTCAGCAGTTTGCCCATGATTTCCCTAGTCTTCCTCTTTTCTTTCTTGATGGCCTTCACGTCCCTTGTGAGATTCAATTCCATGTTGGCTTTGGCTTTCTTAACACCATATGTACAAGATCTCTTGTAGCAACTCTCTGCTCCTCTTGGGTCACCTGTCCTGCTTCCAGCTCTTGTACATCGCCTATTTATATCTTGAGTTCACTTAGGAGCTCCTTGCTCATCCATGCAGACCTTCTGCAGCCTGTGCTTGATTTCTTGTTGGGGTGGATATTTCTTGAGCTTGTAGAGTCCTTCAGTATCATCCAGATCTCCTGGAACCCTGTGATCTCCAGGGCTGTAACCCGTGGGACTCTTTCAAGCAGATCCTTGAAGAGGCCAAAGTCTGCTCTCCTGAAATCCAGGGCTGTGGTCCTGCTTTTTGCCCTGTTTCCTCCTCTTCAGATCTTCAGCATCTCATGGCCACCAGCCAATGCTGTCTCTGTGACTTCCACATCTGCAGGTAGTCCTCCCTTGTTTTTAAGTGTCAGATCCAGGAGAGCACCTTCCTTGTTGGCATCTTGATCACCTGTGTCGGGAATTCATCATCAATGCATTCACATCTCCTAGATCCCTTGAGCCCTGCTGTCTTGTCCTGCCAGCAGATAGCAGGGTGGCTGAAGTCCCCCATGAAGACCAGGACCTGTGAAAGTGAGGTGTCTGAAAAAGGCCTCACCTACTTCTACCTGATAAGGAGGTCTACAGCAGTCTACCTCCTTACAAGAACGCTCATCTTGATCTGTCCAGTTGACGTTTAAGCTCTTGCCTGACTCCAGATCCACCCCAGGGTACAGAGCTCCAATCCCTCCCAGAAGGGGCAACTTCCCCTCCTCACCTTCCGGGACTGTCCTTCCTGAAAAGCCTGTATCCCTCCATCACAGTCATGCGGGTGATCCCACCGTGTCTCCATGATCCCAGGGAGGTCAATAGCCCAGTGACTGCACACTGACTTCTCATCCTCCTGTTTGGTCCCAGTGCTGCAGCCATGGCTCTAGAGGCATTTCAGAGGGACACCCAAGCGTACCGATTCCCCAGGACAGCCTTGAGACCTTCCCCATCAGCCTGTTCTGCCGGCACCTCCTTCTTCACATGCCTGTGCTCGAAGGGATGCCCCTTCAGCTCTGTTTAGTGGACTGCCGTGTCCTCTCTGCTCCCACCACCCCAGCCCCTTGACCTGCCTGCGTGCTCCCCAGCTTCCTTGGCTGTTGTTGAGGACCCGCTCCCTCTCTGATTATTTCCAGGTGGATCCCATCTTTTCCAAGGAACTGTTGACTCTCAAAGATGGTCCCGAAACCTTCTTACCAACAGCAGCAAGTTGCTGATCTGTTCTAAAACATTGGTTCTTGTCACTGAGAGGGATGGGCTGCACCCCCATCTGTACTGGGGGGCCACAGGAATCCCAGAGGGCAAGATAATGTTCTTCTGCATGTCCTGCTCCTCTGGGGAGTTGAGACAGCCTAAAAACAGTAATTCACAAAGTGCTGGCAAGCCATGGCTGGGCATCCCGGTCCTTGCAACACTCCATTTTCAAAATCCTTGAGCCCCAGTTGTTTGAGATCTTCTGCTGTAGTTCTGAGCAACCTCTTGCTGTCCCTGCTGTGATACTTGCAGGCAGCTAATCCTTTCTGTCACTGTTGTCTGCCTCGATCTGCTCTGTAGAGGTTGGCTTCAGATACATGGCAGAGCCTCTCTTCCTACACAGAGGGACCAAGGCTCAGTTTCAGTTTAGAGCCACTGTTCTTCAAAGAGCAAGTTCCTTACGAGTAGTCACTCTTCCTGCGTGTGTTCAGTACCCGTGTTTTGATTTAGCTTTATTAGATTTAAAGTCAATATTGCTTTTCATACCAATGACCTAATCCTTCTGAAAGCTCTGCCCTAACAACTTTCAGAGTTCAGCAGTTTCTTTATAAGCCTGTGAAACTGGTACCGCCTGAGCTCTTTTAAAGAAAGGAAACTGGTTTATGTACTTATGCTGGATTTAAAAACAGTTCACGTATGGGGTTTTTTGTTTCCAAATAAAAATCATAAGCAGTCTGAGATGGAGAACCGTGAATTTTATCTCGCTGATGAACTTTCAAAAAGTCTGAGCCTGTGTGAATTATAGTGAAAATTATATTGTTGCCTTTGTTTTAGCAGCCGCTTTCAGAGAGGTTCAGTACCTCTGGTTAGGAAGATCTGGTCAGAATGATGCTCGTATTGTGCTTTGCTTCTGTACAGATGCTATAAGTTGAGCATCCACTATTTCCTCCTAACTAACTTCATAAGAGTGCAAGTTTTGGAGGAATCTTTATGAGAGCCTCTCACTTTCCAGATAAAATTCTGGGTGTGGTTCAAGCTGAAGCTGAGCAAACAAGGCAGCAGAAACCCTCTTAGAGGGTTTGTGTCTCTCTTACCTTTTTAAGAATTTAATTGCCAACCGTAGCGATGGCTGTTACGCTTCTCCTCGGTAGGTTTGCGAATGGAGTAGCATCCCTAGGTGCGTAGGCTCAAGAGGCTCTTACTTCTTCAGAGGGAATATCGAGTGGAAAATGAAGGGACCATCATTACTTGGGGCACAGGATTTCAGAGCACTTAATGCCAAGGTTGCCCTGACCTTTCCCTTGAGTGGTTCTTTTGGACCTAGTCTATAAGATAAAAGCTTTAATTCACAATCACTCTTTTCATGAAGCTGGGTCCTTTGAGGAGAACAGAGTGAACTTTACCTGGGATGAGTTACATTTGGTTTATCGATTAACCTCTGGGATGTTTTCAGATTATATCAAAACCCAACGAACCAGCTCGCCAGCATGAAAGCCACCCCGAGGAGACCGAAGAAGAGCTACGGGAACACCAAGCCCTTTTGGAAGAGCCATACGGCGACAGAGTCACAAGCCAAAAGGAGGCCCCGGGGCTGGCCAACGTGGTGCAAGTGAAGCAAGAACCCATCGAGAGCGACGAGGAGGAAGCAGAGCCGCAGCAGGAGCTGGAGTCTGGGCAGAGACAGGCGGAGCAGGAGCTGCTCTTCCGTCAGGTGAGAGTCCAAAATGCCAATTTTGGGACTTGGTTCCTTATAGAAGTTTGCTAGGTTCTTGGTAGTCACTTTATACTGGTCTAAGGGGGAGAAGCTAGGGGGAACCAGCTCTTGAGGATTTGCTGTGCGGAGAAACCTGCAGATTAAATCAGTGCCGTCCTTCCCTGGAGTCACCGCGCCAACTCAGAAGTCCCGGGGAGGATAATCTGGATCACCCACACAAGACACAGTCAATGTGTTTGCAGCCACCAAACCACTTTCTGTTTGTTTCTTTGGGAAGACAAAGCATGTCTTCATGTTTTTGAGCACTAAATAGTAGCAGAGGATTTTATGCTTTAAAACAAATTGTCTGCCGCAGAGAAGGGCTGGATAAGGGAGTGAGGGATGAGGTTCATTGGAAGGGATTCCTTCTTCAGAACTGGAGATCTCAGAGACTGCAGCTGTGCTGACTTTGGAGGGTAAACACCAGAGACTTGTGGATTGCGAGTAATAAATCCAATAACAGCACAGCATCACGTAATCTTTCCAATTACGTGGCAGTCTCCCAAAAGCCGCCTGTTGCGGTAGCAGTAAAGAAGGCAAGAAAGTTGCAGTTCTCTGAAGGCATCAGTGCTCTGCTCGTCTTTGCAGCCCTTAACACCCAGGATCTGCCTGTACCTACGGCCGTACGTAACCCCCGTGCGGGATCAGCTGCCGAGAGCAGATTGCCATAGCTCAGAGTAAATCCCCAGCCCTTGGCCAGGGAAAGTGGGATTGTGTCGGGTTTGCAGTTGCGATGTCTGTTTATCAGGTGCAAGTTGGTTGCTCCGTGGAGTCATTTGTATCTCTCTGCTCACTGCCGTCTTGCCAGCACTGCGGAGCTGACTCGCGTGTCCCGCACGGACATCGTTGGCTGTTGCTCAGAGGTTACATTTTTGGTTCTTTATTGAGCAGCGTTATCTTCATAACAGCGTTGCCTTGAAGGATCAATGCCATTGCCAACCGTGCTTGTACAAAGTGTTGTTTGATTTATACAGTCCCATCTGAGCCTCATTGCCTTAGGAAATAAATTAATAAATTAAATGTAACATGCTACTAATGATGGACCACAGTGACACTGTTCCTCTGAAAGTGCAGCTGCCCCAGCCCTAGTCCTGAATGCATGGTCACGCCTGAGTAGCCTTAAAAATATTACATCCTTCTCAATTGTTTTGCCTGAAAGAGGAGAAGGAATAAGTAGAGGCAGTGGGAAGGTTGTTAGGGTGTGGTTGGAAAGGGGCAAGCTGGACCAGCCATCCCTTCCAGCCAAGAGCCAGCTGATGGTGTGGCTGCACTGAGAACCAGTGCAGTTGGAAACTCCCTCTCTTGCCTGTGATCTGGTTGAGCTGGACTCGTTCCTGGGTCTGGTGCATCACACTGATAAATGCCACCCCTGCAGCAGTGGAGGTGCACAGGGCAAGGGAGACATGGCCAAACCCAAGGGGAGGATGAGGCTGCTCCTGCTAATGACCGTGCCAGCATGCACCAGCTCCAGGGCTGTGGTTTGGACATGGTGTGCTTGCCTGACTTTGCTCTAGAAACGTGCACATCTTCATTTGCTGCACATTTATTTCTCAGGGAAAGGAGTCCAAGCCTTTGAAGCTTCAAAACCCTTTTATGAAGGCACCACTCAGACTTTCAGCAATTCCTTGCTTCTTTTCCCCGCAGCAAGCCCTTCTGTTGGAGCAGCAACGTATCCACCAGCTGAGAAACTACCAGGCGTCGCTGGAGGCAGCCGGCATGCCTGTCTCTTTCGGAGGACATCGGCCTCTCTCCCGTGCCCAGTCCTCGCCTGCCTCGGCCACCTTCCCAATGTCCGTCCAGGAGCCACCCACTAAGCCAAGGTTCACAACAGGTAACGTTTTGGGGCGCTGGAGACTGCGGGTTACCGCTTTGCCTTGTGTTGTGCTTTTCTGCCCTGTCCCTGCAAAGCCATCTAGATGGGGTCTGCATCTCACCTGTGTTTGGGGACTCCATAACGTCCTGACTTCATCAAAGAGAAGATTCTGTTGTCTGACACCTTGCTGTCCTGCTTGTCCCTTCCCCAGAGGGACAGACACCCGACAGTCCAGACAGAAAATAACCTGCAAAAATCAATAGAAGCACAGTACTTTAATTATGTATCTCCGGAAAAAAAAAAAGGGGACGAGTCATATGCTGTGACAAAGCTGATTTAGACGCAAGGCAGAGAGAGGCAGTGTTATTGAAAAAGGACAGCATGCCAAATCTCTTGGCTGTATTTTCTGCACCTTCTCCAGGTCCTGCACAGTCTCATGCCATAAGTTATCCGCTCCGGGCCCTGGGCCAGCCTACCCCTCCTTCTAAAAAACCATCTCTGCCCAGGAGTCTGTGCCCGTAGGTTAGGAAAAATGAGGTGAGTTGATGATTTCAAGTTGGCTTGAACAGCCGAACAGACTGAAGAGTGTTTTCTTACCTGTTCAGTCTTCATCTCGAAGGAAAATGATGAGTGTGGTTCTGCATCTGTCTAGTGAAGACCAGAAGTGCAAAGAAGGTGTTAATCTCCCCACTAAGATTAAAGGAAAAAAAATAAAATTGTTCTTCCTGAATCCTGACAACCAATTTTTTTTCCACCAAAATCCTTTCTGTCTCTTCAGTAGCCTTAGTAACAGATGAAAGTTAATTTATGTGCAACTTTTCAAGTCCTATGTTGGGTGATTAGGCAGACTTATTTTGAAGTCCGCCTTCTTCCCCAAATGTCAGGCTCTATTTTGTGAATGAACATTTTGCAACGTGATGTGTGCCCTGGGAAAAGGAAGGGGAAAAAAAGTCCAGAACGCCCAAATAAGAGCAACTCATGATTTTGTTTCTCTTTCACTTCCCCGTTTATTCTTATTTAACCCACACTTTTTGCATCATGAGAGTGAGCGCTGTGAATCGGGTTTATTTTCAGACACTGGTGGTGTAGTAATAGTGCTCTGTTAAATAAGAGTTTGTTCTTCAGCTGCTAGCTGCAGGGTGGGGAAGCATGTGTGATTAGCTCTGTAAAAGTCCGAGCAGTATCTCATTTTTGCACATCAGCCCTCTAAGTCTCTTTCTGTTTGTTACTATTAAAACCTTGAATTTCAGAAAAACTCTTGTTTCTAATGCAACCACTTCTAGCGAGATCATTGTAGATTTTGACTTTTGCCAAGGATGCAAAGAAGGGTAGTCCCCTGGCTCATGGTCAAACCAGATGAAACTTGAGCATCTAAAACACTTAGACCCAAACCTTGGTGCTGTAAAAACAAGGAAGCCTGGCCCTGCTTTAGGAGATTATTCATTCCTTCTCTTTCTTCCCTTCTCCTCCTCCGGTATTTAAGTTGCCCTGTCAATCATTTGCAAGACTTTGAACATAGAGTAACTTTTCCTACCAGAGGATATACATTGGACTCAGATACGTGCCTCTAAATTTCATTTTAAATTACAAGCAATGGTAAGAATGCAAATTTTGAGAACTGTGCTGCTTTGAAAAGACCCTGTTACAGTGTTATAATTTATTTTCCTTGGAGGCAGGGTTTGGGGGTGAAAAAAAAAAAGTGGCGTTGGGCATCTACTGGCACTAATAAAGGTGCAGAGCATAAAAGGTGAGACTTTTGTACTCATCCTAGAACTAGTCCTTCACCTTGCATAAAAGGTGAAGGACTAGTTTAATTAACCTTCACTATCTGCTTAACAGTGGCAGGAAAAAAAAAAGAGCCTAGGAATCTGTGGGCATGCGAGCACGGAGAGGCAAGGCAGATATTTCAGCTGTTGAGCACGTGTGCGAGTTAGATTGCTAATGTTTTCTTGAAGTTGTCCGCGGTGTGTCGCAGATTGTGTTATTGGAGGTGGATACTAAAGCTTAATCACTAGGATTGAACTGTTCTTTGAAAGGCAGGAAATTAAAGTCTTGGGTATTTTTCAAAGCAAGCAGTGCCGAAGTGCATCAGGCTGCAGACAATCCATCTGTTTGATAAGCGATGGCTTTGGAGACCGATTCTAACACAATCACGCGCTTTGGATTTCACAGAAATGAAGATTTGAAATGTTGTGATCATTTGATAAGAGGGCTGGAATAAACAAACCTCGTTCACCGGCCCTAATAAAGCCAACCGCCATCATTCTAGGCACGAACGTGGCTCTGAAGTGATTGGGTTTTGTCCAACAGACAAAGGAATCGTTCATCACTTTCATGTTTGGGATATTACATAGAAAGCGCTAATGCTTTCTCTGGACAGAGTTAGGACCAGACAGCTGGAAATTTGGGGGTTTATGTGTAATTTATTTTCCTGTCTCTCTCAGTGACCAATACCTGAGACTTCAAAACAACATAATACACCTCTCAAACATGAGGGGCATTACTCCACATGAAAGCGAAAGCAGTGCCCTTCCTGACTTCTTCAAGCAATCACTTTTATGTCCCGAAGCATGATATTTAATTTTCCTTCCTTAAAAGCAAGCTAGTCCTTGAACTTGCCCTCGCAGGCACAAGTAGCCCCCTTGACTTTAATGAATCCTCCTGCGTACCCTGTTCTACACACTTGACTACGACTTTGCAGGTTAGGCTGTTTATTTGCATAGCTCAAATTATCCAGGCTCTCATCTCCTGTAAAAATGGTTCCACAAATTATTCTGATGTGCTGCATTAAAGTATTTTTCATTTCTGACGAAGGCATTTATTCTCTCCTGTGCAGAGCAACATAATTATCTGAACCTCAAATCACATGTTTGTTCTGCCAAGAAAAGCGAGTTGGTTATGCTTTAGTGCTGACCTTTAAAAAGAGTATCGCTTCCAGTGCCACTTGATTTCACTTGTAATGGCCAATGTAGTTTTGTATTTTGAGCTTAAATTGCCAAGTTTTCCTTTGTGTGTCTTCATGAGTGCCCCCAACCACAGGAAGGAACTTGGAACTGTTCCCTTCTTTCCAGTGGTTGATTTTATATAAAAAAAAGAGATGTGTTGAGTGACGTGTGATTACAGTAAGAAGAACTTCATTGAGACGCTACTGTTACCATTGAATCACTGGGAAACGAGAAACTTTATAGTTCAACCAAGTTCGACAAACCCCACTGCAGTCCCTGTTAACAAATAGGGATGAGTAGGCGTCCTACTACTTCTGAAAACCTTTTCTTTCACCGCTTCGTCTGCCCACATTCAATAGGCTCGGTTACCAAACCCCGTCGTGGATGTACGCGTGGAATTTAAATGCAGCGCAGCTTGCCGACACTTGCGGGTGAGGCTGGCTCGTGTGGCCGGGGATCTCGCCCACGGCTGCCTGTGTTTGCTCTCGTCGGTGCAGTTCTCTGAGCTGATAAATACCGCTGCCTGCTTCTGAGCTGACACCAAACATCTTCCAAGAAACCTGGGAGATACCTGGCAGGTCTGCTGTGCTGCAGGAAGACAAGGGAGGGATGGAAGAATGTCAGGTCAATGCAGAAAGATGGTTTGTCATTTGCATTTATCTCTGGTTTGATCCATGTTGGATTTTACCCTACCAGGCTCTAGGGTTACCCAGGTACAAAATGGAGATCAAAACGGAGACTTTTGGCCAGGCATTGCTTTACCTATGTACCTAGAGTTGCATTGTGATAGTTTTTCAGGAATTAAAAGAAACTTTGAAAAGAAACTTGCAACACAGATTTCCATATCGACTATTTAAACTGTCTTAGACCCTTTACAACTTTGCAGCGCAACTGATGTAATTCACTGCCAGGTTGTGCCCAGCTCCCAGGTAGCAAAAAGATTTGTTAGGACAACAGCATTAAGCATCGTCTGGGAATCCAGGAGGCAAGCAAGAAAAGGCTGCTTCAAATACACTGCTTGAAAATGCTTGATTTTTTTTTTTTCCAAAAACTCATGAAGGTCTAGCGTGAACTAGCCACAGATTTATCTCCAGGTTGGAGTGTCCTTTACAAATGAGGTGCAGCTGCTTAGTGAAAACTTTTCCCATTTCCACTAGCGAATTCTCTGCTGTGCTCTCTTGCCTGTGCTCCATGCTTTCCCATTGCCCTTCTCTTGGGCCATCACCAAAATACCTCCATTGCACCATCTTTTAGCCCTTGCTCTCTAAGGTCAGTGCCAACAGCAGAGTGCCCAGGGGCTGAAGGGGGCCAGGATTGCCCCTGGACAACTCAGCAGCTTGCTGATGAATGACCTGCTGCTTCTACTTCTTTTTTCTTTAAGGCTAGTTGTTGACTGTCTATATGTTGAATCCATAACACATCCACCTTTTGGCTTTAAGCCTATTTGTAGTCCCTGTAGATGTGTGTGGAAGTTGGAAAAGACAAAACCGCTTTGCTTTGTTTAACATCAACGATTTAGCCAAACGTAGTGCAGTCCCATACGGTCTAGGAGGACATCTCCATGGGGTTCTTTTGGATAACAAATACTTTGTCAAAATGCATGATGTCTTCCAAAGATGAGTTTCCTTCAAAAATAAATGAACCTGAGGTGAGGTTAACCAGACCTTGCGCTACTTTGACTGAACTCAGCTTGGGGAGTTCTCATGGCCAGCCAACCTTATCATTGGGCTGCAGCGTCTCCTCCGCTGGCACTTACAGCCCTTAGCCTTGCCCAGCAGCTCCCAATGAACTTCGTTGCCATGAATCAAACACGGGAGACCTCTACAGAGCTGTGCAGCAGAATCTTACTTAACTGAACTTTGGCTAACCCAAAGGCAGTCAATTAACTGGTGCTCTGTTCTCTTCCTAGAACTGAATGCGGTCTGGGTTTTGTTGGGTTTTCTTTGGTTTTTGGTTTTTTTTTTTTTTTTTCTTTGTGCTCACCTACAGCAAAGAGAGGAACTGCCAGATACCTTCCCTGAGGCTTGGAAGTGACGGTGCCAGGCTTTGCCTCAGAGGGAAAAGCCAGATTTTTCAGTGGCAGAACACGCCTCCGCTCAATCCAAAGGTGCGATTGGAGCTGGAGCCAAGCTGGGGGACGTGCAGCGGCTCAGAGCTCAGCTCCAGGCTACATGGGCACGTACCTACTCAGAGCCCGGGTTCTTACAACCCCTTTGAACTGTGTGCAGTTGCAGATGGTGCTATCGGTACATGGAACTGGTGACATGAAAGCCAGCTCCGGGAAGCTCCTGCAGCTGCATTCACGCCACACCATAGGTGTTCTCGCCTGGGATTTCGGAGGAACGATGTCAGACTCTTTAACATCGGGAATCTGGGAATAGCTCCTGCCTTCGCTGCTGATTCAAAGGCTTTGGATTCTCGTCAAAACCTTTGATTTGCAACTTTATACCGTGCTTTCAGACAGATGTGTCTTGCAAGGAACGTTACTCCTTGGGAAAGAAAAAAAAAAGCCACAACTGCTTTTGTTCTGTTTTCTGAAGCTTCTGGCTGAGGGGAAGGGTAGATTTAAACATTTGACTGTGTCTCTTTTGCTTGAGTGGAAAAAAAAAAAAAAAAAGGTCTTTTGTCACCAGGAGTGCATAGCTGCGGAGGACCTGCAGTTTTCCTCCAGTGGAACATTGGCTAGGAAATCATAACTCCCCTTCCAAAAACGTACCCAGGCACTCTGGAGCATGAATCAGTCTCCTACGCTGTTGTCATGCCATAAATACTTGGTAATGCAAGGGGATTTAGCTGCCTGACTCCTACATTCACATGAAACAACACTGCTAAATACCTACATATCCTGCCGAATAATTATGCCCAAGCGCGTGTTAATAGCCTTAATTAGCATGTTGTCAAATAATGTTGATGCAAAGACTTCAGCACAAGATATTTTATGAACCGTAGTGCCTGCTAATGTCATATTCCTTCTGATTTTTAATCCCAAGCCCTAGAGTCATTTTAGCAGCAATTATAAAAGTACCCGGTGGAAAAGCTGCAAGCCGCTCCCCTCCTCGATCATGTTGCTACACCGGCACCTCTGGGCTTGTACTGATGCTTTCCCTTGTCACCTCCTTCTGGCACTCTCACAACTTCAGCCTGCAGAGATGGTGGTGACTAATTTCTTTTCTGGATCCGTTGAGGATTTCCAGAGGAATGGATTGTGACGGGTTTGGTGCTGTCTCAAAGCAACGTCTGGGATTTTCATTTCTTTAGGGCTCCTGGTAAAACACACAGTCTTTGTCTAGAACTGTGCAGTTGAATATAAAGTGCAGTAGTAAAAAAAAAAAAAAAAAAAAAAAAAAAAAGGGGGGGGGGAGTTTTCATATATCTGGTAAAATTTAATTTTTTTTTTTTTTAACTGAGAGAAATTTTATAACCTCTGCTGCAGGCCTTGTATATGACACCTTGATGCTGAAACACCAGTGTACCTGTGGAAACACCAACAGCCACCCAGAGCACGCGGGGAGGATCCAGAGCATCTGGTCCCGGCTCCAGGAGACGGGTCTTCGTGGCAAGTGTGAGGTAATAAAAATCCCAACGAAGGGTGAGATGAGGTGGTGGGCCTGGGGGGAAAGGGAGGATTTGGCTTTGTCTGGCTGATGGGGCTGCTGGGTTATGAGCATTTTTGGAGGCTGATTTCTCATCCAGATGATAGCATAGGTACCGACCCTGCAGCCCAGGCTGCTGGTTGCTACCTGGATGTGCAAACTTTATGCTGTATTCTGGATTTAGATTTTTATAGCTCCAGCTGTTGGCGATGTTTTGCCGTACGTAGCCTAAATTTAATCCATTCCTGGATGACTGCTTCTGCTTGCCTGTGTGTCCAGGAGTACTTTGCTAGCGATCTGATTTCATTGCATTATGACGACTGTTAGAATTTTCATGAATCATTGGAGAATGCTCTTGCCTGATGTTGCAGTGAAGCTGCTTCTGTAATTTTCAGTCCTATTCCCTATACACTGGAAGTCTCCACCAAGTGTTGGATTTTCAAGCATCCAAAGATAAGAGCAAAACATGAAGTAGCCACATTATTTGTTATCGCTCCGATCGTAACGACAAAAGCTGTGGAGCAACAAGTTTGTACTTCTGTGGTTTAATAACTTTTGTAATACTCTTTGATAGGTAATGGGCAACCTATAGTGAAGATACTGTAAAAGGAATGAGAGTAGGGGGACATAACTAAGCGCTTTTCCATCACAAGAGTTTAAATTAATTGCATTGGACATATCTGTTATAAGAACAAGGCAAACTAAGCTAAAAGCTTAGATAATGAAATAAAAAGAGTCATGATTAATAATGGTGATTAATAATTATTGCAGTGATTATAAATAAATGGTAGCTTGTGTTCATTGGTTCTTTGAGCATCTGAGGGGACTGAATCACACAGTATATGGATGTCAGCATCTGGCTGGAAATACTTTCTGAGCAATCAGAACAGACATCCACGTGGTGGCAGCATTGCTGTTGGCTAAAGCTCCCCGTCGTACCCTTATTTATCCCTGAAGATAGCAAAGAAGAACTTCAAAGCTGTTTCTGTCTACAAAGACCCATTTAATTGAATTTTGGGATTATTACTGGGGGGGAGGGAGGGGAGCAGACCCCTAGTACCCCACGGTTCAGCTCCTCTGCTTAGAAGCAGGAGTGAAACAGTGCATTAACTGCATTAAATAGTCGTTCTTTATTTTAACTTGTCTCATGGCCTTGCCTAGCACAACCTGTTTCTCCATCACCTTCCTACCTCCACACTTTACTCTTTTGTCCTGGAGAGGGATTTTTCTGGAGCCGCTTGTTCACTTTCCGCAGTCCTTGAGCAATGTAACTCTTTTCCACCTTGCAAAGCCACTTGGTCACTTCCCTGCCCTTCAGAGTCTTTCTGAAGCTCCTTAGTTGGAACCTGTCTATCAGTGAGCAAAGTGGAGAGCAGTATAAATAGCCTTCCTTCAGTAAATTTGTTGATGAGAAGCTCAACATGAGCCAGCAATGTGCGCTGGCAGCCCAGAACCCAACCGTGTTCCCGGGGCATCACCAGCAGCGTAAGCAGCAGGTCAACAGAAGGGATTGTCCCCGTCTGCTCCGCTCTCATCAGACCCCCCTGCAGTGCTGCACCCAGCTCTGGGGTCCTCAGCACAGGACAGACACGGAGCTGCTGGAGCGGGGCCAGAGGAGCCACGGAGATGGGCCGAGGCTGGAGCAGCTCCCGTGTGAGGACAGGCTGAGAGAGTTGGGGGTGTGCAGCCTGGAGAAGAGAACAACGGACTTGTCTCCTTACTGCGTGGACAGGAATGCTTTACACTTAACATGTAGCAACCTTCATTCTGCGGGACATATTCCAGGATAGGATGGATTCAGAAGGAATTTTGGAGTCTGGCTTAATAATTATGATTACTTTTAGTAATAATCTTATTTTTTTCAAATCCCTATTGCCTGTGCCAAAGCTCCGTGCAGGACAGCATGGGCTGTGCCCTCTATTCCCACCCACAGCAGTGTGCGTGATGTATGAAACTTCTGCAGAGCTCTTTGTTTGAGGGTGGTGACGCTTACGACCCATGCAGCCTGTTCTGGATCTCTGGTTTTTTATGGATTATAACTGCTCCATCTGCATTGCAGCCCTACAAGCACTCGGAAAGAGGTGAATATTTTCAGAATTAGTACTAGGTCTGCAGCGAGTCAGCAGCAACACTTGGATCATTGCACTCAGAGATTTGCCAGGCTGTATGCTTTGGTTTTTTGCTGAGCTCCTGTTTTATTCCACGTTGGTTTTTCTTTTTTTGTAGCTGCTCTTGCTGATGGACACATCTGTGCACACTCATTCTTATCTTCACTTTTGCAGGTCTGTTGTCCTGCGTCTCAGATGTTATAAGCCAGTTCAGTAAGCCCAAGGGCCTGATGTGAAAAGTGTTTGTGATTATGTAGTTTAATCTGTTTCACACAACTCCTGTTTGTAAAAGGACAGTTTGAACTCTGACATTTCCTTATCCTCATATTTCCTGTTCCTTCCTTAACAGCCTTTGCTGTGGTCCGGGTGTGGATATAGTTTGATTCTGTTGGTTGCAAGTAGTTGCTCGACACAGATTAAAAATACAGCAACCTGCGTGGTAAATAATCCCCCTGCACGCTGTGTGGGATCAGACCAGACTCTAATGGATCCCTGTCCTCTTCCAGAAGGAGTTTAACAGCTCTCGTTTCCCCCCAGGACTGCACGCTGAAAAGAATTCCCAGCTCTGCTTTCTCATGCAAGCGCAAATAATTCTTGGTGTCTGTCTCCTGGAAATGTTCTTTTGGTGTTTCTGTTGCACACATGCCCCAAGCCAGAAAAGGACTCGCAGATAAATATTTTTATCATGCATGCAAACACTTGCTTTGAAATTTTAGAAATTAACTAAGTGAAAACCTGTTTTCATCAGGCAGCCGAGAGGCTCCTAGACAACCTGCCAAGTGCTGAGTTCTTCCCATTTCTCTCGGAGGCGAGAGAAGTGATCCAGAAGGGGCACGAATATTTTTAGAACAGAAAAAACGACTTCACTTCTTTCCCTGCCTCTCATTTTTCAGCAGCGAAACAGATAGGTATTTGCAAAAGTTGTACAAAAATGGGTTTGCGTCCAGCGGAGGGGAAAATGTGCGCCAGATTTGCAGTGCGCTAGGTAAGAGTCTGGCAGGGTCGTGCAAGTGTAGAGATGACCCTTTGGAGTAGAAGCAGTTGTCCAAACGTAACAACAGCTGCGGTTTAGATTAGTGCTCGTTTAATTAAGTTAGCTGTATAAAACACGGCAATTACTCCGGTGTGCGTTCAGAATTGAAAAGCAACAATTATAGTAATTGAGGCAATCTCAATAAAAGACTCTACCCCCCCAGTGCAAACCCACAATCACGGTATGGAGTAATCCTCTCAGCCTTCAGCAAGAGCGTGAGGAAATCAATAGGTTTTGCTGTGTGTTTCAGAGGTAATCAAATCCCTGGGCTGCTCAACCAGGATGGGGAAGAACGCGTTCCTCAACCAGGGTCCGTCTCCAAGCACGTCTTGGCAGCAATCCTGCGTGGTTTCGAGCGTGAGGACTGCTAGCTCAAGCTTAATTGCAGCTGTGGAGGGCTGACATGAAAAACCCAAGCCAGGGCTGGGCCATCTGTCAGAGCAGAGCCCTGTCCGCGGCGCTCCTGGCACGGCATCGGGCAGATGTCCGGGTGGCGAAGCCTCCAGAGAGCCGCTCTGTGCCCAGGGTTTCCCATCACAAAGCACCGAGGGCGTGCGGGAGGTGGTGGTGGTGCATGGGAAGTCAGGCTCTGGAGAGAAGCTTTAGAGCTGGTTTTGGGGCTTTTGGGAGCTTTTTGGGGGTTGCAGTTGGGACAAGATCTGGCTCACAGTCATTCAAGATTCATATCCTCTCTTGTTGAAACATCATGGGGTGAAAGGGTGAATAAAATGCAACCTAAGAGACTGGGGGAGGGGGGTTGTTCTTGTTCAAAATGCAAAGGAAAAGCTGCTCCAAGGAAATGGGTGAAGAGTGCAGAAAGGTGTGTATAAAGCGGTGGGAGGGGAGAGGTGTGGTGGTGCGATGAAGGTCAGGTTTCATGCGGAAGGAGGCGTAAAGGAAACAGGGTGAAGTGCCAACTAGTTTATCGGGGTTGAGAAGCCACCCCCTGAGCTAAAAAGCTGGGATTTAGGAGCCAGGAGGGAGGTTAGACAAGAGCGGGGAGGTAGCATGGAGTGAGCAAGCTCAACAGGCAACGCGGAGCCTCAAAGATAAAAGTATCGTGACTTGAGTGCTCTTAGAAAGTGAAGAACTGCTCAATTCGGGAGCGTGGATGGAAGGCTGAGCCCTAGACTGGGGTACAAGGTCGTGATGGGTCTGGAAACAGGAGTGAGGGATAGGATTTGTTCTCCAGCTTCATTTGGGGGTATTGAATTCATTTTCTTGGTGTCTTTGTGTTAGAGCCAAGGACAAAGCTTGTGGTGCATGAGCTGGGAGATGAGAAAGGTGCAAAAACATCTCAAGCATCATCCTTTCTCCCTGGGCAATGCTTGCTGCGACGGTGTGATATAGATTTGTTTCTGTAAGTTTTTCCTTGAACGTGTTGCACTTGCAGCACAGATTCTCCACCCACTCATAGTTCCCATTGGGCTCCGGGTGTCCTGTGGAGGGAGGGTGGCACTGATACCCTCCGAAAGAGCATGGAGCTGGGATGTCTTGATAAGGCCACCTCCTTGAAATGGGAGCAGCTGTCCCCATCCCCGGGACCCAAAGCTGTTCACACCCGCGGAGGAGCTGGTGCGTTGTTGCGACAGGCTGCCGTTCTCCCGCTGTGTCTTCACCCAATGCCAGGAAACACAAAATGCTACTTCTGTAGGTCCCCTCCATGTAGCAGCTGAAAATGGGTCAGTACATCTCGTTCAAAGGAAAAGGGCTGGCATATGGGTTAGAGGGAAGCTGTGAAAGCCTGGAAGGGGGGACTGAGGCAGGCTTACCATGAGCAAAAAAGGAAGACAGGATAAAAAGTTCAAGGGGGATTTGCCAGATATTTCCATCCCTTCTGGCTTGAGCATTTTTG